AACTAAAAATTTATTTAAAAGATCCAGTTGTCAAGTGAAGAATTAAAATTTTTTTTTTGCAAACTTAAGAAATGTTAATTTTTTCAATCCTTTTAAATTTATAACATTCTGATATTGATAAAATCATGTTTGAAAATACAAACAAATTTATTATGAAATTATAATTAAGATTTTTTTCAAAAATTTTAGAATTTTCAGTTTTCAAATCCTTTTTTAAATTAACTAACCTTTTTTTTAATATTTGATTTGTTTTTTTTTTTATTTCACCAAAATATTTTTATTTCTTAGAGACATTTGTTTCAAAACTTTTCGAATTCTTTCATTTGAAAACTGAATTTTACTAGAATCAGATTGATATACATATTTAGTTTGTTTAAAAAAAATCATAAAACAATTTCAACAAGTAACAGTATTTAAAACATTTTAGTTTGATACTAAAACGATTTCGTGGCGTATGAGCAACCTGTGTGACTGCCGCTTAACTGTGTGAAGAACATCTTTAAAAGTCACAGAAAGTTTTCGTTATCATTTGTTAAGCAAGAATCATATATAAATATACATAGACGCTCACACTTAGAAACTCCCGAATTCACTATTACTTCTAGTTATATAGTTACTTCACAATAAACATCTTTAAACTACATACATACATATATGTATATATGCAGCCTCAGGAAACTCCTACATTTTACACACTCTTTTTCACAAAGTAGTGGAATTTGTTGTTCTGCGCTATGCTCGCCTACTTTCTTGACTATGCCGAAAAGTGGAAAAAGACGCGAAACCCAAAATAAAGACAAACATTGTTATCACCACGGCACAGTAGGCAAAGACTAAGTAAGTACAAATAGTGTGAGCACAACAGCAATAACATTAAGGACAGCAAGATATTACACAATAACAGGTACAACAACAAAGAAAGCGACAACCACTTCCGGAATGTGAAAACTCAGCTACAACTACAACAATAACACAAGTGTTGCCAGAAAAATATAGAAATACATATAAGCAGAAATATAAGCACATTGTGCAAGTGAATGTAGGTAAATAGTACAATACAGATGACAATGACAATATGCAATAACTGTTATGGTTATCGATTCATAAGAAAAATGTATTAAAAAGCAACAATAATGATAGAAATTGCAAAGAAAATCAATGAAGATGGTTAGAAGAAAATATTTACATACCCAAATGGTTATAATATTTATAAAGTAAATAACTCATTACGACATATTTAAAAAAAAAAAAATAAAGTAGTTTGAAAAAGAAAACTAGAAAAAACCCTGTACCGAAACTATCATACCCTTCACAGGTGCATTTCTATAGCATAAAATGGCATAAAAAGATCTATATCTTGATTTTGATCAAACAGTTTGCATGGCAGTGGTCCGATCGGAACATTTTCCTCATAGATTGTATCGTTGTCTTGGATTATAATCCAGACCGAATTTCGTGAAGATATCTAGTCAAATAAACAAGTTTTGCATACCAGAACATCATTATGATCGTTCAGTTTGTATGACAGCTATATGCTATAGTGCTCGGATATCGGCGGCTGCCAACAAATGAACAGCTTCTTTAGAAGTAAGAGACGTGTGCGCAATTTCAAATCATTATCTCAAAAACTGAGCTTCAGGATAAGTTCACATATATACAGAGGGACATGGCTAAATCGACTCAGCTCATTATGCTAAATCGACTCAGCTCATTATGCTTATTATATTATATGTGTTTTTTACAGGATCTTCGACCTTTCTTTCTAGGTGTTGCAAACCTTCGAAACTGCCTATTACCTCTAAAATCACATATTTGTAAGCGTATAATCTGGCGAAACAATTACGCTAGAACATATAAAATATGTGTAGGCGTGGTTCAACCTAATTGTAAATTAACGTATAATTTTTCATAAACTGTTCAAGCTAACGCTTTATACTGCAAAATAAAAATAGGAAATGTCTAATAATCATTTAAATAGCAATAGAACTGTAAAGTCTAAAGATTCTTACCATGCTCTTTTAACATAGTTTGAAAATAAATCGAACGAGCATAACTTAAACTTTTTCGGTAAAACTTTATGCATTTTCTCCGTCAATCCTATGTATGAATTACAATTTTTGTTTTTTGATAATGTGAGCGATATTTCACTTTACAACCCGATAATTTAATAAATCAACCCTTCGTTTGCTTGACTTCAAGATTTAGGTCAGTGCACAGCATTCTAAAATTACCTATTTTTGACAGTCGAATCGAATTTATCTCTTCCAGGCTCTATTAAACATGAGAAGTTCTCTTATAAATCGAGGGTAGTTCCAAGAGTTCATGCTATCTGAGACAAAATAGATCTCAATCTTAAGACGCAATTTTGCTAAAAACATTTCAAAACTTCTTCTAAAGACGGCTCGATTTCTAAACAATTAGCAATAAATTGTTTGTAAAAAAGTTACAATTGCAACAAGAACAAATAAATGCATGTCCACGCTACGAAATAATGCTACTGTGAAGCTAAAGTTAAACTTTCAAGTGGAGATGTGCGATAGTCTTCGGTTACCACCATCGCCCGATTAGAAAACTTAAGTTCCAACACTTCGAACTTCGAGCAGTTTTATCAGAATTTTTTTTTTACTATTTTACTAACGTAATCATGTTTTTAGGAATCCGAAGTGTACTTTAGTCAACAGAAAATATATCAAGTCTGATGAATTAACGAATTTTATTGAAAATAGAATTGTTTTATTGAAGAGGGTATGTTAAGTTTGCCACGAAGTTTCAGAAACCCTATAAAATGTATAGGTAAATGATCAACGTGAAGAACTGAGTCGATTTAGCCATATCCGTCTGTCTGTTTGTATATACGCGAACTAGTCAGTTTTTGAGATCTAAAATTTTGCACACGTCCTTTTCTGCCTAAGAAGCCGCCGCTATCGGACCACTAAAGCATATAGCTGACATACACTCGTAATCAGTTGCTAGTGTGGAAAACTTTTGTATTTGACGAGATATCTTCACGAAATTTGGTATGGTAAGCAAAATACAATGAAAGTTTCGCTTGAGATAAAGCCATACTCATCAATCCATAATATATTTTATTACTATACTTATAACTTTTAGCCACTTTTTTATATCAAAAAAACATTTTTTTATATAAAAACTGTATTTTCATTTATTTGAGAACTTCATATGAAATTACTCGTAAATATGATAATGTTTGCTGAGTTTTGAAGACAACTTATATACCATAACATTTTCGAAAGGAATACTATCAAATGAAAGTCAAAGGTCAAAGTAAACACTTCGATCTGTTTGACATTTAGGTTCAGTATGTTATACTTTGACAAGTCATCATGCACCTCTTTATTAAGATTTTTACCAAGTCATATCAATAAATGCGCTTTTGGATTGGCCTCTTAGTACTAATAAATTTCAAATTTGAAAATTTTCAAAGGATTTACATTTTAAAATGTTTGTACTACTAAAACGATATTGGTAATTTCATTTATAATATAAGGTTGTCACATATCTCCCTTCCGCTTTTTTGCTCTTCATTCAATGCTTTATAAAAAGTGTTACAGTGATCGGATTTAGTTAAAATATGCGCCGTTTTGTTCGTAAACTTGTTGCCAACGAGATGCCAACTTCATTATACCCCTCTCGTAGAAGGCTGCGTCCCTATTGGCAAAAAACTCGGAGAGCCAATTTTCACAGGTCTCTCTTGAGGCCAACTTCTCACCATTAAGCGCGTTCACCATGGACAGGAAAAGATGGTAATCACTTGGTGCCAGGTCCGGGCTATATGGTGGATGCGATAAAACCTCCCATCCGAGCTCCCGTATCTTCTGACGAGTCATTAACGAAGTGTGTGGTCTGGCGTTGTCCTGGTGGAACACTACACCCTTCCTGTTGGCCAATTCTGGACGCTTCTGGTCGATCGCCTGCTTCAAGCGGTCCAGTTGTTCGCAGTAGATGGTAGAATTAAGCGTCTGGCCATATGGGAGCAGCTCATAGTGGATGATTCCCTTCCAATCCCACCAAACACACAGCAAAACCTTCCTGGCCGTCAATCCGGGCCTGGCCACTGTTTGGGACGATTCACCGGCCTTCGACCACGACCGTTTTCGCTTGATATTGTCGTATGTGATCCATTCTTCGTCGCCAGTCACCATTCGCTTCAAGAATGGGACGAGTTCGTTCCGTTTCAGCAGCATATCGCAGGCGTTGATTCGGTCCAGAAGGTTTTTTTGCGTCAAATTATGCGGCACCCAAATATCAAATTTTTTTTGCATCCAGCCTTCTGCAGATGGTTCAAAATGGTTTGGTGACTAACTCCCATCTACTGGGCGATGTCACGAGATGCCATATGCCGGTCTAACTCGATGTATTCCATGATTTGATCGGTGTTTGTCGTCACAGGTCTTCCGCCGGCTGGCTTATCCATGGTCTCGTTTTCACCGGCTCTGAATCGTCGAAACCTTTCCTCCGCGGTTCGAAGTGATAGAGTACCATCCCCCAAAACACCATTAATCTCACGGAACATTTCTCTAGCGGATTTGCCTTTAACGAAGGAAAACTTTAAAATAGCGCGAATTTCGGCGTTAGTGAACTCCATGTTTACACGTCTATAACTGTTGAACGCAATATCCAAACTAATCATGCATAGCGTTGTTTTGTAGGTTATGTCAAGACCTTTCAAATTATTCAAAAGACAAAAAAGCGGAAGGGAGATATATGACAACCTTATATATTAAAAATTTTCATATCGAAAGTATCTTTAAAAGTATTGAAAATAATCCGGTATCAATTTCATAAAGTATGTATTTGGACACTTTGAAAAATTTATAAGGTAATAGATAGTTTTCTAAACACTATTCCCAGTCTAAGCCAGTCTGAACTGCCTAGTAATGCTTTATTTACGATTTGCCTACCTTGAAATTACCGCGTTAAAATTTTCTATTTTTAATGCACCTATTATTTTTTTTATAAGTACATACAATAATACATTATAATTAAATTTCGAACGCATTAAATAGAAAGGTAGAAAGGAAATACCAGCATAAGAGATCAATTTAATACGGTTACGAAAAAATTTGAAATTTAAATGAAGTTATGTCGTTTAATTCACATTTGTCAAAACATTTTTACTTGAAGAGGTTTTCTTTATTCTTCCAGAATATTAAAAAAGTGCGATCATGCGAAGACAGGATATTTGCTTTGTAGTTTTGTTTGGTATGCTCCAAGTACTCGCATTGGCAAGAGCAGACGGAGAGGATTATACATATGGTAATGGAAAATATGGCTGATTTGATTTTTTCGACTCAAAATTTTTGTAAATAACAGATGACGAACCTTTACGGGTGCGCATCGGCAAGACAGAGTTATTAGTTTGGAACATGCCGGTAAGTGAATTTCTATAATAACTAGTTGGATTGGGTATAATTAAGAAACTCAGGAAACGTAAATATTGTATATAGACTTAATTACTCTTTTTTCGTAGCTGGATTGGCAAAGCGCCTATGAATTTTGTGAGAACGATAACAGTAATTTGGTGGTTTTGAATAACCGTGAGAAAATTGTGAAATTGCAATTGTTTTTAATAAAAAACAGTGAGTGCGCCATATTTTATTATATTTAACAACTAGTTTTCAATCACACTTTTTTGTTACGCTTATGAATTGTTCAAGGAGAAAACCGGCAGTTATTTGCATACTGGATTGGTGGCAACGATTTGGAAGAGCTCAATAAATGGAAATGGATACCGATTAATAAGCCATTTACATATACACATTGGCTGGATGGTGAACCGAAGCGATCTTCTAGTAAACGCTGCGTAGGGATAGATTTCCCGACGCTTGGTCGTTGGCACAATAGTCCCTGTTCTCACTTGCGTAACTTCATCTGCGAACGAACAATAATTTAGATTAATTGCATAGTTATATAGAAGTTTATTTTTCAGTGATTGGATTAGAGAAATGTTAAGATATTAAGTAACTTTCTATACGTGTAATGGTGTACATAATCCCAAGAGTAATCACTGCTTGTAATTATTATCACTCACTAGATAATTGATAATTATTTATGTTTAATATTAAGAAGTTCTTATTTAAAAATACCCTTAATAATTGTTAACTTTCTATACGAGTGATGATATAATCCCAAGAGTAATAACTGCTTGTAAAGTGATTATTCGTGTGATTATGTAAATTATGTAAACCATTACTCGTATAAAACGTTACTTAACATTTCAACATTTCGAAAATCCAATCACTGAAAAATAAAATTTTATATAGATATACAATTAATCAAAATTATAGTCTAGTTCTAATTTTTATATGAGTAATCCAAAAGGTAGGTTATGTCCACATTTTTATTTTTTAGTAACCACTTTCGAAAGTTGTAGTAATATTATATATCTCTATTTGGCGTCTAACTACGAAAAAAATGGATGATTTTTAAAAAAATTTTTGGTTCATTGCCCAGCCTAGTGTTGTACAGCGTAATGTTAAATATGCATAAATATCGTCCTTATTGCTTAAAATAATTGGGGTTCATCGATGGCTGTGTCAAATCTCAGTTTTATTGTTAGTATCCTTCTGGGAAATAATAGCGTAAAATACAAAGTTAGAGAAATTTTATCAGAGTTGAGAATTCTCTTGCTACTCGGTGATAAAAAATAAGTGGTTCCGCCAAATATTAGCAAATTCGATGTATATAAGGTCTACCAACAACAATGATGTGATGTTGAAATGAAATAAACTCTCAAATTTGATAAAAATGGGTTCTATTATTTTTTCTATGCAGGTAATTATATGCCATTTATGATTTGTACAAAGTTTCACTCAAATAGCCACGATGGCTCTGTTTGCATATATCTACTTGTATATTGTGCTGAATGTTATTTTCGAGCGTTTCGGGTAGAGATTCTCCGCTCCGATTTGTTCAAATTCTGGGAAAAAAAGTCGGTCAGCATCGTGATATAACGCTTGATGATTAACGATTGATTGCAACGGCATTTCCTGCATCATTTCGAAAGAAATAAGGCCCGATGATGCTGTCATACTACAATCCGCACCAAACGGTCAATTTTTGGGGATGCAGTTGCGTTTCCTGAATCACACGAAATTTTGACTCACCCCAATAGCGGCAGTTTTGTTTATTGACGAAGCCAATAAACCAGAAATGGGTCTCATCTATGAAGTCCGCGTTTTGCGCGAAGAGGTCTTACAGTAGCCACCGGAGAAAGTAAATTTTCGTAATAATTTTTGGCAATTTCCAAGCGTTGTTCCAAAGTAAAACGTGACATGATGAAATGACAAACCTTGCTTAACACACTGACAAAAGTTCGCACAAATCTGTAAACAAACATGGCCGAAACGAGCTATCAAAATCATGTCATCCCTATTGGTTGACGGTGTATATATACAGCAATACATGCTGATGCATTATAATTTAATTTCGTACGCATTAATTAGAAAGCTATTTATATTAGCACAACAGATCAATTTAATACGGTTGCGAAGAAAATTTGTTATTGAAATAAAGTTATGTCGTTTAATTTGCAGTTGTAAAAATATTTTTACTTGAAGAGGTTCTCTTTATTCTTTCAGAATATTAAAAAAGTGCGATCATGCGAAGACAGGATATTTGCTTTGTAGTTTTGTTCAGTATGCTCCAAGTACTCGCATTGGCAAAAGCAAACATTGATGGGTGGGAAATGGACTCTGGCGAACTATATCAAAATGGTAACGGAAAATGTGGTTCATTTGAATTTTTTAACTTAAGAAATTTTAATTAACAGTTGAGGGAGCTTATTCGGTGCGTTTCGGCAAGACGGAGTACACAGTTTGGCACAGACAGCCGGTAGGTGAAATTCCATAACAATTACTTAAAATTGGTTTAATTAAAAAACCTATGAAACTTAAATATTTAAATTTATTTCCTTTTTTTCATAGCTGAGTTGGCAAAGCGCCTATGAGTTTTGTGAACGCTATAATAGCAGTCTGGTGGTTTTGAATGATCGTGAGAAAATTGTGAAATTACAAATGTTTTTAGTAAAGAACAGTAAGTTTCCAGTATTTTACTATAATTAGTTTTAGTAAGTGACTTTGATTTACACTTTTTTGTTTCGTTTAGATTTTGTTCAAGCCCGAATCAACGACGATGAGCCAGGCTTCATTTACTGGATTGGTGGCAACGATTTGGAAGAACTCAATAAGTGGAAATGGATACCGATTAATAAGCCATTTACATATACACACTGGCTGGTTGGCGAACCGACGCGATCTTCTAGTCAACGTTGTGTTGAGATGGGTGACAAGGCGCTTGGTCGTTGGAGCAATAGTCCTTGTTCTTTCAAGCGTTACTTCATCTGCGAACGTAGCTTTAAATCTGTGCGCCAAAGAACTGAATTGTAATATTGTTGAATTGTATGTTTATGCAGACGCATACTTATCAGTTTATGGTTATAGAAATGGTGATAAGGACTAATTACTTTTTTCATTTCTACCATATTCAAAATTTTCTGAATATGTTTAGTAGTTGTCAAGTTATGACTACTCTTAAATAATAACGCTGTTAAGAAAATAATCATCAGCTATAAATTGGCTGATACTTTGAGTAAAGATTATTCCAGAGTAAAGATCATTGGTGCAAAAATGTGCAGAGTTCAAAATATTCACTAATAGTGATTGGAATACATAAGTATTGTACTTACTTTCTTCGAATTGGCGGTTGAATTTTTAGATAGAATTACGGCAATTTAGTATTTGTTATTGAGATTCTAATGCTCTTAACTCTTTATTTCAGGAATATATCTAGATTTCTATGCTTTTTACGGGCTATTTAGACCAACTTGAAGTTTGAGTTGCCCATTTGGGGCCATATGTCAACAATAACGAGCCGAATATTCTCTTCCAAGGCGTCAATCGTCTCTGGCTTATCTGCGTAAACAAGCAACTTCACATAACTCCACAAAAAATCATAATCCGGCGCGAAGAAGTCAATTTGGTTTTAGCTCTACAGCGTTCCCATCACATTGACTGTAATATTATGGCCGTCTTAATTTTTGAAGAAATGTGAACCTTGAAATGTGATTCCTTCTGTTCATAGAGCACATCAAACAGTGACCTTTTGAGGAAGCAACGGCGTCTCAAAAAGGGCTTGTGCTTTATCATCACTCTAACTGCGACAATTTTGTCTATTAACGTTTCCATTCAACAAAAAGAGAGTTTCATCGCTGAACAAAATTTTCTTGTAAAAGTCGGGATTGGTGACCATCTCGTTTCGGGCTCATTCTCCGAACGTGTGAGCATGTGTTCGTGTTTCCTGTAAATCTGTTCATTATAAAATGGTAAACTAAACTCCATATAAATCAAGTAACAGCTGTCAAAAATCACAAATCCGAAAAAGTGTTGCCTCATTGAAAAGCACTTGTCTAAAAACAAAGCCGTTATTTAATTTGAGGCCACTTCAAGGTCGATGTTGATGCGAAGAATTTTCCACCTACGATACAATCTAAAAAACGGGATTTTAATCTACATAAGACATCCCTCTAAAGAAAGAGCAAAAAAACACTTACTATACGAGATAGGGTTACTGTGAACCTACAGCTTAAATGTCAAGTGATTCGTGAAGATGTAAACAAGATGCTAAATGGTTTTACTATATTTGCGACGAAGAACTAAAATAAGAGAGGAAATATATGATTGAAGAAAATATTAAAATTTTTTATCAAGTTTGCATCAATCCACTAGTTAAAAAAAATCAGGACAAAACATAAGCACCAGATGTGTCATGTAACGCTCGTAGATATATTCTGTATGGTGAGTTTATTACCACTTTTTCATAATAATTATTAACTATTTTGATAACATTAATTAGGTTATAAGATGTTAAGTTTTATTATGGGCTGGTGCCAAGAGCAATTAAGTTTGCAGTGACGAAATTTTGGAGAGAACCATGTTATCATCTTTCAAATGTTTGAAGAATTTTTTTCCAAAGCTTTCAGAAGATACTTAGTAAAGAGGAGAAAAAAAAATCTAAAACAGTTTTAAGGCTCACTGACATGATTACGAACTTCTCCATCATCGGAATTAGAATGTCTCTGAAGAGACATTCGCATTTATCGTATATCAATTTAAAATTAACATGGGAGCTTATTTGGAAGAACAAGGAGACCGCTTCCCCCAAGATATATAGAAATTTGAGAGACGTTATCATGGCCAGTATACTGAATTCATAATGGGTCCGATTGAAAATATGTATTATGTCTTTAATAGTTCTATTAACGCGTATACTTGTATGGCTATCTTAGACAGAGGGTTTTAGGCATTAATACATGTGTGTGTCTTCTAATATTTTTACAAGCTTCGCATTTAGTAAAGACTAACAGCTCAAGCGACATAATAATTTGTTTACAATTTATCATGTTCTAAAAGTGTTCAGAGTACTTAAAGAACAGATAAACAATACAAGAAAGTTTTTCATTTTAAGTTTCGTTGAAAAATAAACCTTCCTTCATAATACAAAATAAATTTAATTACAATTTTTTTAACTTTTTTAGCCACTTTTTTTAATATCGTATGAAAATTTTGTATTATAAAAAATTAAAAATAAAAAATGTCTCTCCATTAATTTTACAATTTTTAATAAAAAGTAATGGTAAATATGAACATTTTTTCTGTGCTTTGTAGACAACTTATATAGCAAGCATTTTCGAAAGGGATACTGTCAAATGAACGTCAAAGTAAATACGTCGATGTTTTTGACATTTAGGTTCAGTATGTTATACTTTGACAAGTCATCATTCACCTCCTTATTAAGATTTTTACCAAGTCATATCAATAAATGCGCTTTTGGATTGGCCTCTTAGTTTTAATAAATTTCAAATTTGAAAATTTTCAAAGGATTTACATTTCAAAATGTTTGTACTACTAAAACGATATTGGTCATTTCATTTATAACATATTAAAAATTTTCATATCGAAAATAGCTTTAAAAGTATTGAAGATAATCCGATATCAATTTCATAAAATATATTTTTAGACATTTTGAAAAATTTATAAGGTAATAGATAGTTTTCTAAACACTATTCCCAGTCTAAGCCAGTCTGAACTGCCTAGTAATGCTCATTTACGATTTGCCTACCTTGAAATTACCGCGTTAAAATTTACTATTTTTATTGCACCTATTATTTTTTTTATAAGTACATACAATAATACATTATAATTAAATTTCGAACGCATTAATTAGAATTTATATTAGCACAACAGATCAATTTAATACGGTTACGAAGAAAATTTGAAATTTAAATGAAGTTATGTCGTTTAATTCACATTTGGTAAAACATTTTTACTTGAAGAGGTTTTCTTTATTCTTCCGGAATATTAAAAAAGTGCGATCATGCGAAGATATTTGCTTTGTAGTTTTGTTTGGTATGCTCAAAGTACTCGCATTGGCAAGAGCAGACGGAGAGGATTATACATTTGGTAATGGAAAACATGGCTGATTTGATTTTTTAGACAAAAAATTTTTGTAAATAACAGACGACGAACCTTTACGGGTGCGCATCGGCAAGACAGAGTTATCAGTTTGGGCAAACCGGAGGTGAAATTATATATATATTACTTGATTGGTATAATTAAGAAACTTAGGAAACGTAAATATAAATACTTGATTTCTTTTTCCGTAGCTGAATTGTAGCTGCGCCTATTTTGGAATATTGCCTGAATTGGAAAAGCGCCTATGAGTTTTGTGAGAGCGATAATAGCAGTCTGGTGGTTTTGAATGACCGTGAGAAAATTGTGAAACTGCAATTGTTTATAAAAAACAGTGAGTGCGCCATATTTATTATATTTAATATTTTTATTATTACTAATATCAATCACTCTTTTGTAAGCTTAGATTTGTTCTAGACAAAGGCCACGTCGGTATATACTCTTACTGGATTGGTGGCAACGATTTGGAAGAACTCTATAAATGGAAATGGATACCAATTAATGGCCATTTAGGTACACTCATTGGCTGGATGGTGAACCGAAGCGATCTTCTATAAACGCTGCGTATAGATGGGTGACAAGGAGCTTGGTCGCTGGAACAATAGTCCGTGTTCTAAAAAAATTGATGATTTTAAAAATTTTTCGGTACATTAGTAAGTTAGAAAGGTGAAAAATATGCAGAAATATCGTCATTATTGCTTAAATAATTGAAGGTTCATCGATGGCTGTGTGAAATCTCATTTTTATTGTTAGTGACCTTCTGGGAAATAATAGCGTAAAATACAAAGTTAGAGAATTTTGTTAGAGTTGAGAATTCTCTTGCTACTCGGTGATAAAAATAATGGCTCGCCAATATTAGCAAATTCGATGTATATAACGTCTACCAACAACAATGACGTGATCTTAAAATAATAAACTCTCAAATTTGATAAAAATGGGTTCTATTATTTTTCTATGCAGGTAATAATATGCCATTTATGATTGTACAAAATGTCGCCCAAATAGCCACTTTGGCTTCGGTTGAATATATTCACTTGTATACGCCAATTTTCATGACCCGGAGCAGCATTTCGGCTGTAAGTGCTGAATGATATCTTTGATTTCCTCGAGCGTGTGTTCATGTTTAGGCGTGAAACATAAGGTGACGCACCGTCTTGTTGAAAATAGGGATCATCCGCGTCGATTTCATCAAATTTCGGGAAGAAAGATTGGAAAGATCTCGTCTGTGTTGCGCGCAGAGCTTTACAGTACCACGGAGAAGTAATTTGCGTAATAATCTTGGACACTTTCAGCGTTTACCAGTGAAACGTGACATGATGGAATGGCAAACCTTACTGAACACACTGACAAAGCTTAACACAAATCCGTAAACAAAATGGCCCCACGAGCTGTCAAAATTACAGCATCTCTATTGATAAAGGCTACAGAATGACATTCGTGATTACAAAGCGATTTATATACATGTGTACTAAATGTATTAGATTTCAATGTGATATGGGGCTTAATGCTTTGTTTTCTCTGTGAAAATTCAAACTAAGTTATAAACTGCAAAAGGTGTGGAGATCATTATAAGATAAGATTATGCGTACTAGATTTTGTTGTATTGATGAAATACTTCGTCAGTATGAAATATGTATATATTTAAAGATTTAGCGCTAGTTCAATCAAGTTATGAAGAATATGCCACAAGTAGGTGGGTTCGACTATCTACCGATTTCAATCTTTTTCATAAAAACATAGGGAAACTTTATTATTAACCCAGATGGCGCCAGTAATTTGCTATTAACTAAAAACTTGAAAATAAATTCTCATAAACGATCAATTTGGAAAATCTTTGAAACACTATATCGCTTTTGACATGGGCTTAATTTTGTCTATGTATGATACCAGAGAGTCAGTAAACATTTTTAACAAGTTTTAATGGGGTATGCTAATTGATATATTTATTCATGTTGCAGGAGCAGACTCTAGGTCCAGCGGACAAAAAGTACATACATAACTGTATATAAACATCCGAATCATGTAAAGACAATATTTTATGTTTCCCATATGATCATAGAGATACTGAAAATCGAGCGATTAAAACATTAT